TTATGCTTTTTATACGTAATACTTTTTTATACTTTTTATGCTTTTTATACGTACTTTTTATAATTAAATGAAGATAATTAGCATTTTTAAGCAAACTTACCACCAGCTAGCAACACGTAAGCAGCCTTCATTCCTTTGGGCTCCTTTCAGGACCCACATTTCATTTCCATCCAGTTCTTGTCCAGTTGTGTTGTCGTCTAACTCAGACTAGGACGTCACCAGCTTGAATTTACCAAAACTACTAACTATTATCAAGGTCCTCTCTAATTTTAAGGCAACATTATGTGAGTAAAAATGGTGAATTTGGACAGCATCTGGCTTCATGGCTTTTCTTCTTTTTATGATGCTTTTCAAAACACCTGAAAGTGTGCATTGCCGCCACCATCTGGTCTGGAGTGTGAACTGGAGCTAATGCTGTTCACTTATACATCCATTACATAACAATGCCGTTACATCATACATTTGAAAATGAATTGGATAAAGACATCTTCCATGTTTTAAAAAACTGAAAACAACAGATCATATTTAAAGAGATGTAAAACTGAAGATACCTGTTACATTTAATGTTAAGGACAAGTATTGTTTTTGTTGTAGAAACTCTGTCACTAAATTGTCAATGTTTAATATTTTGAGGCATGAACACATTATTTACTTTGTTAAAGAATATTACATCAAGTTCCACTATAAGGATTATATTTTTTTTATTCTTCGACATTTTAAAAGATCATTAAGGCACCTAAAAAGGTATACTCTATTAGCATTTAGTATACAATCGGATGTAATTTAAAATAAATTAAAATTTCAGTGTATTTAGTAATTTACTTTTCAAGTAAGCATTAAGTGAATTTTAAAAAATTATATTTTGAGCATTTATTTTAAAATATACACAACATTTTTTAAAACCATATTGTTTCACTTGAGCAAATACATATTTTGTTCCCTTAAAGTATACTTTTATTTAATGTATTTCTTAAAAGTGTATTTTGATAAAATTATATTTAAGTGTGTTTAAAGTTATGATGTCAAAATTGGTACAAGCATACTTTTTAGTATACTTTGTATATATTTATAGAACACTTAATACTTAGTGTACTTAAACTTACAAATGTAAGTATATTTGAAATATACTATATATATTTTTCACTAGGGTAAATAAAATCTATTATTATTATTATTATATTATTATTATAGCTTCAATGTTTATTACCCCATAATACTTCAAGGTCATCCAAGTTTCAGTGTAAATAACATAATAAGTACATGATCAATGAAACCATGAACCAAACTCCTGATGACCCAGTGTGAGAGGGCTGGTGAGTGAGCCCTGGGAAGTAGGGAGAGATTCCTACCAGAGCAGAAGGTAGTGCCTGCAGCGGACCCTTCACGTTCCCAGGAATCATAGGTCACTATTCCAGGACTTGGGGGCTTGAAGTTTAATTCAAAGCTAATTGCACAAATCACCATCAAGTGTGGTATATAACAAGGTGACACTTTTGGTCATTGCTTTGCATAGGTTGGAACCTTTGGACTTAAGTCATTACAAGGGGTGGCTATAGACACTGGTTAAATTATCTTTGAATCCCACAAATGAACAGTAACTTTGAATAGTGTTCAAGGACATATGCTAGAACCAAGTACCCACAGAGAAAAAGAACAAACTAAATTGTAAAAACAAAGTCAAAATTATCAATACATCTGTGCTACCAGTCACAAGATGACATGGAATTACAATAGCTTGAACAAATGAGTAGAAAGATGCCAATGATGTTAAGAAAAGGAATCTCTCTATGTGATGGCTGCAGTTACAGCCACACAGATGGAGTCATGTTCAATCACACAACTTGTATAATAGGGTTAAATAAAAGAAACCTTTTATTTAAAGTTCAACTTTCCTGAACTTTCTACCTCATTTCATCACCCTTAGCATGCTATGGAATACATGCCAAGGACTAGTGAGCCACCATGCAAGATTAAAAAAGCAAAGATCTTGGAGTATATCAGGAAGATGAATCCCAATAATCAATTTCTAAATTATTATCTCAAGTAGTAGAAATCCAATTGCCAAAACTGAGGACAAGGGATAATCGTCATTAAAATAAAAGACATTTTTACAAATTTTGTCATGACGTGAGCATCAGTTGTATATAAAAGAATGTGAACATTTGTTTTATTTGGAACAGACGGAGATACATACATTTCCACAGTCATTGCAGTCATAAAGGCCAAGTCCCTCTATGGATCTTTTCATCTCCATGGAGAAGTTCTCATACTCTGGCTTGACTGTTCTGAGTAGAGTCACTGTGTTAAGGGAGGCATAGGCTTGCCTGGCATCGTCGTCAAACTCATCCTCTCTCTTCCAAGAGCCATTGCCTGGAATGTTTAATTAATCACATTTTAATTGAAAATTATGTAACTACAATATAAACATAATTTTCAACTGAAAACTCCCCCCTTTTGCAAAATTATTAGATAATTTGCTAAATAAATAAATAAATACATTTGAAATTAAATTCTAAACTCATTTTTTTATGTCAAGATGAACTATTGGACATTGAGCTCTTATGTTAGAAAGACATACAAGCTCAACAACAAAAATATGTATTGTTTTTAATGTATTATTTAGGTTATTCAACCATCAGATTGACACAGATTTCTACTACTATCTATGAAGCTTTCAAAGTGTTTCAGGAACCCCTAATCATTTCTCCTACTACTTCTTTAGAAACGTGGACAGTGGATGCTGACAATAGTGTTGGGGACGTCTGTGCTGCAACATATTTAGCATTGAGATACTATTTAAGAATTGAATAGCTTTGGCCATTGGCCAACTCATTTTTGCACTACTTGGACACAACAGTTGTCTTCTCCAGGGTAGGGTTAGGGCAAGTGCCCTCTATTGAGTCTCCTTTTTGTTTTCTTTTTTCAATATTTTATTTATTTTTTTATTTTATTTTTAGGGCACAAACATGTTTGTACCCCTCTATAATGACAATTACAAAATAAATTAATCTGGCTGCCCTCAGTCTAATAATGATGTGAACCGATTCTCAGTGCCCTTGCCTCCATGTTGTTAAGACACTGGCCCTATGGTGAGAAAGAGGGGGACGGAACTGCGTTATGGACACACATATATGTGTCCATAACTATCAAATTATGGACACATATATGTTTTTTTTCAACATACACTTGTTTGTGGTTTGTGAATATAAATGTAGGTCCAGATGTTGAAGTTATAAAAATCGTTTTTATTTATTTTTGTAATTGTCATTGTAATAGCGAGAAAGACCCCATCCTTGCCCCCCAACACAGAGATGGTTTGGCTGCAGAGAAAATTTCTGACTTTCGCTAGAGGCAACCTGAGTCGGTCCCACTACTGTGAGTCAGAATCAAATATCCTGATATAAAGAAACAGTATCGTGACTGTCACCGTGACGCACCTCAAAGTCCTGGTACCGCCTGCTTAGTGTTTGCTCCCTGCTTCGCTTGAACCTAACGTGGGTTCGTACAGAAGCGTATTGTCATCATGGAGGAAAAATTTTGTTCGACCACTATCAGTTACAACGTGATAGTTATACTGTACAAATTGATAGCTATATTGTAAAAATGTGACAATATATTGTATACATGGGATAATTATATTGTACTAACATGATAGTTATACTGTATAAATGTGATAATTTCAAACCCAGAAGGTGGTGGCAGCATACTTTTAGTGTAGGCTTATGGAAGGCTACTAGAGTGGCTAACTGGAATTAGTCAAGTTTTCCTTCATACTTGGGCTATGATATGGAGAAATACTTATGTTACTTCGCACTGTGGTTGAAATCATTAATAGTATGCACACTCTGAGCAAGATTCTAAACAGAATGGGACTGCACAGAAGGAAACATCAGTCCGATATTCCAGATGTGGTAGCGTTCCTAGTTGGCTTCCGATTGCAGCTTCTGATCCGGTAAATAGCCAAAGGGCAATTGTTATGGAATGAAAGTGTGGCCTATGTGGTTCTGGTGGCTTCTATTGGTGTGGCAATGAATGACAAGGAGCTGCTCAAGTTGGCATCAGTTGTTTCTTTAATTCTCCATCTGTATTTCACACAACGGGCATGGAGGTAATAAAACAACCTCCTCGTCGGTGATCCTCATGGCTCTGAGGATTACCCATAATACAGTAACCACGATAAAATCATTTAAAATTACAGTGATCGCATAGTGGATTTTGTTTTACAATAAAAGGACAACCAGTGAGTCTCCTTTTCAGAGAAAATAAAGTAACTAATTAAAATGTTCTGAAAAATAAAATAAAATGCTGACATTTTATTAACTAGATGCCATTTTTATGTTTTAGTTTATATAACCTTGCATTTTAGAACAATGCAGAAACATAAATTAACCACATCATTGTATAAAACTGTTAATATAAAACTCAGTGTCATGCTAACCATCTGCTACAGGAGATTTGGTAAAACATACCTGCATTTCACAGAACGGGCATGGAGGTTAGGGCAGTCTCTAGCATAAAACAAGCTCCTGCAAGGAGGAGCCATAATGTTACCACGTGGGAAATTCCCACTGCACTTTCCCACGAACTAAACATTCTCGAACACGACAAAAACGACATAATAACAGAACTAGCGTGACCCAGACCGAACATATTTCAACAATATGCAAAAACGAAAACCACAAACACACTTCACAAAATGCATTAATAATATTTCTTTAACACATGACAGAGACACGTTACCTCGTCAGTGATCCTCATGGCTCTGAGGATTACCCATAATACCGTAACCACAATAAAATAATTTAAAATTACAGTGATCGCATAGTGGATTTTGTTTTACAATAAAAGAACAACCAGTGAGTCTCTTTTTCAGAGAAAATAAAGTAACTAATTAAAATGTTCTGAAAAATAAAATAAAATGCTGACATTTTATTTACTGGATGCCATTTTTATGTTTTAGTTGATATACATTGCATTTTAGAACAATGCAGAAACATAAATGAACCATATCTTTATATAAAACTGTTAATATAAAACTC